TCAGGTGGCACGAATAGCGGTCATATTGACCAGGGTGCCACTGTGAGATGATCTGCCGACCACGGTGTCACTCCGCTGTCACTCGTACAAATTTGCTTCGAAGAGAATCTCATATCGAGCATCTACTACGGCTTTTCTGCTTCTCCTTAACAACTGAGTTTCTTGGCGAACTATGACACTCCGGTCTAGCCCACCGACGCAGCTTGAAATAGCAATTACATCGATATAGCCAGCATCGATAATATGTCATGAGCAGCATGTTTTGAACCTTGATGAGACTGAGATGAAAGATGTACACTATACTTCTCTGCGGACGGTTGGGCGTGTCAGCCAGTGTGAGTGTGTCATCCTATGAAAGCGTTCTAATGCTTCTTGTTGAAGAGCGTATGCGACAGTGGTAGAAAACGAGTAATACGAAGGATATGATACAGTATTGTCACTTGCCCGCTTCAACAACTGGTGTAGAACGAGTTTGGCACCGCGCCAAGCGCAGCCGCACGGACACGCCCAACCGTCCGCAGCGAACTACACTATACTTGTGGGGCAGTCAGCTCTGAGGTTTCCATGATCTTGTCATTGAATTCGAAGGATTTTTCTCTTTGCACTCCACATGTGGTCGAGGTGGCAATGGTGGCGTGATGGTCAATGGTTCAATCATACGAATGAACTTTTTCATCACACGATTTCCAGGCGTGTCATCTCCACAAACTCCACATTTACCACGTAAAGCTGCGCGTGACAGAGATGCGTATGCCGTTCCATCAGCCCACGTACTTCGTTCCGACTGTTCATAAGTGAATAGTAATGCTCCTTGTGGAGCCTTCTAGGACGATTGAATGGACCTGATGTTAGGATTTCGAACTTTCATCTGCTACGGTTATGGTTCAGTGTCTTCAAATAGGGTGTGGGAGAGTGGTACGGCAGGATCTTTGATGAGGAGCTATTGGGGGCATATAACCATTGCACGTGATCTCGTTCCGTAATTACTCTTTCAAACTGCCCAAGCCTATAGCACTGACGTGCTGTAAATGAAATGATGTTTTAAGCTGGTGCAAAAGCCATTCGGTGCTAAAGAAACTATGAAAGCAAGTCACCTATATAATGTTCGGATGAGTCGAGTGTTCATGTCGGTTCAGTCTAAGATGGCGACGCTGTTCCCGTGGAGCATCGCGATTTCTGTGACCTTTTGTTGAATACGAAAGCGAAGAACACCATGAAGATGCACCAAAAAATTTGGAAGAAACCTATCGCAAAACAAACTCCAACTAACGAGGTAGAGGCTCCTATGAAACTAAAGTCAGAGCTAAAGCTTCAGAAAAGCATAAACAGTTTAGACCACTATAAACGTATCGGAGCACCATAGTGATCGACAATGTTCAGGGAGAGGAGATCAAAATTGACGCAAAACAACTTTCCCACCGTAAACACGGCAAAAGTGCTAGTGGTCAGTCTTGTTATAGAATGAGTGTTTGAGTCGATAGTTGCAAGAATTATGAAGCATTCTTGATTAAACGGTTTCAGCGTAGTAACACACTGAAGTTCCCAGCAGTAAATTAAAAAAATTTCAGGTGTTGAAAGTGGCATACTGCGAGGGAAAGAGAAGGCTATGTTTTTAGCTGGCGCAAAATGTCACTGCATGGCAACAGAAGAGTTCAATGCACTGCATCGTTTCAGGTCAGGTGAATTTGTTATACGTGATAAATTCACTAAGAAGTCGAATAAACTGTGTAAAAATAAGTTCCAAAACGCTATACTTGTAAGAGCATGTTGCAAAGAAAGGGAGTGCTTGGACGAGTCCTCACTTGTGGGCATCATAGCAATGTCAGGATGTAGACTCTCCTCACCAAATCACTACGTGGGCATTCAGTTTATAAATGAAGCGCATCATGTACGCGTCACATTCAGACTCAGCACAGTATCCTCTGTGCAGAGTTATCAAATGGACCTGCAAAGCGAATCAAATGTGCTGTGGGCTAAAGGCGTGCTGTCCGGCTGCAGATGATGACATAGGCATGCAGATCTACTCTTTAGTAAAGGTTGTGTTAGGGTACGTATTCAATTTGTATATAAGCTGCTCAAGGTCGTTTGTTCTTTCACACTGCATGACACATATGGTACGTCCGGATGAATCTTTCCACAAAAAGTATTTTACGGTTGTCGATTCGTAAGCGGCTCACTGCGAGCTGTGTATAGCCGCACCAGTGAAGAATGGCCATAGAAATGGTTGATATACTACGATGTACATAGTACACATAATATACATAATAATCTTCCACCCATATATTAAAATGACAACGTCTTCTTGCGTGTTATGCTGCGATGCGAGCATTACCAAGGGCCAGTTTGAGGGGCCGCATCAAGGGTGGGATGGGTGGGGCATGAACTTGTATGTACGAAACATATGTGTGATAGATGGGCGTTTTTGCTTACCGAGAAAATGCCAAAAAATCAACTCCGTTCAGATAAAAGTCCGGGAAGAGGGGAAGTCGGGTAAATAGCAGGCAATCAGTTGTCGGACGAAATGAGGAAGACGCACCCATATCGGGCAGGGCGAGCTACAGATGGGCGATGCTTGCTACGAAGACTTCGAAAATGCAAATCAGCTCCAAGTAAGCCCACAGAGCGGGGAACTTGAGAAACGGGAGCAGCAGGGTCGGCGGACGGGAAGCATATGTACCTGCAGTGGACGGGGCTCCACAGAATACTGCTCTGTGGCTTGAGCTCTCAAACCCACCATCAGGTTTTCAAAGATTTGCAAGCCAGGTGGTATATGGAAAAGTTAGAGGACTACCTATTAGGTGGGGGGGGGGCACTGGCCACTAGCCCTCGTTGTAGCGAAGCGGCCGATTCGACTGCCCTCTCTATTCCGGAAATATGTGAAGGAATACCCACTTTGGCCGATTCGACTAGCACTATCTCTTTTGGAAATGTGTGTGGGTTAGAGGGGGGGGGAACCCAGTTTACAAGAAGAAAGAGAGAAAGAGTGTAAAATAAGGAAGAGTGCAACTATGGAATCAGAGGTGGGGAGCCGGGTGCAAGATGAAGCGGCGGCCATTTTCCCTCCGCCTGCGAACTATCACCTAGACAATCGAGCGAATGTAGAACCCGCCTAGTCTCGAAGACTGACCTGCCCCCAATTGCACTACTTTTTTGTGTCGCGCAGTACAACGTTGTATGTTTTTGCGCAGCACAGTCTGATATACATAGATCAGTGCAGTGTACCATAGTGTAGCACAGTATTATGTAGCATAATAATTGGAAAAGGAATGGAGCGTCATCATGTGTATGTTGTATTTAAGGTTTCTCTCCATTGGGATACTAATTTGTTGCCTTGGATGCTGCCTCTGTACGAGAGCTACCAAGGAAGATGATACTGATGAGCATGGTAAGTTTACACTTCATTCAACTGTCTCACCAAGCTAAAACAGCTTCTGAAAGGTCACTGAAGGCTGCGGACTACGAACTATCGATCTACTAACTAGGCTGTTGAGCTACGGAAGTAGATAAGTACAGAATAGTGGTTCATATGAGGATTACTTGATGAACAAACCATTCCCAGTACTTTATGAGGAAGTAGAATTCCAATGCCAACGTTAGCGGTGCTAAGTATCTAACACCAGTGAACAAGAAAGGGGAGAAACCGTTAAAGTGCCCTAAACAAGATACCTGTTGGTTCTAACCGTTATGTCGTGACCGCTCCTGCCCTCCCTCTGATTATGGCAGGCTGCTGATGGGAACCCGCGCTCAAACGCCGATATATCTTCGATTTCGTATATGCCATTCACTTTAAATCGGACACTTTTCAAATCAAATCGGACACTTTTCAAATCAAATCGACACCTTTTCGAACCAATCGGACAAACGCCTTCCATTGGGGATGGATTGATACGACACAACTACGGTAATGTGCTGCAAGCCCCGCCCATTATCCCCCGCCCTTCTCACGCGAGACAGGCATTTTACACGAGATAGCTTCATTAAATCTGCTCCTTCCGACTTTTTATCGTTTGCCCTTTGCCACCACACTAACAACTGAAAAAGAGTCTGATACCTGTAACAGACCGACTCCGCACCATTTAACAATGAAGTACGTAGTGCTGGATTTTATAAACTTTTTGGCGTAGGTTTTCAACCATCCAATCTTCACAAAACATACTATTGCACGCACACCAGGCCCGACCCCTCTTGATTCGCCACTCTTGTTATAAATGCGCGAATTTTGCTTTTTCTTCAAGATTTCGCTTGTAGGCTTTACATTTTCTCCGCCACAATGGAAACTCCGCGCCACTTTGGGGAGCCCCGCCCACTTTTCGAAAACGATGCACACGCGGGATCGGTCCAGTTCTGGCGCAATTACGCCTATCCCGGGCAATAGCAATAAAAAAAGGAAAACGAAAAAAAATGAACTTTGTCTGAGGAGAGGGAGAGGCCGTAATGCGCCAGAACGGACACTAGCCCGCCGATTTGCATCATTTTCGAAAAGTGGGCGGGGCTTCCCCAAAGTGGGCGGAGCTTCCATTGGTGGGCGGAGCCAATCGCTAAAGCCTAAAAAAGCGAAAATCCGGAAGAAAAACCAAAATTCCGCGATAAACACAAGTGGGCGGGGTCAGAGGGGCGGGCCTGGTGTGCTGTGCATAGCTATTTGTGAAGAGTGTGATGAAAAAGAACTACGCCAAAAAGTTATAAAAATTCACAGCACTTACGTAACTTCATTGTTAAGTGGGCGGAGTCAGATCTGTATAGGTATCAATCTTTTTCAGTTGAAGTGTGTGTGCAAAGGGCAAAAACGAAAAAAAGTCGAAGGAGCAGATTTCATGAAGCATCTCGGAAAACCCTGTCCGCGCTGAGAAGTGGGCGGGGATAATGGGGCGGGGCTTGCAACAGTACCTAGTGTGGTCTAGTTATCAACCACCTAATTGTAAGGGGTGTGTCCGATTTGATTTGAAAAGTGTCCGATTTGGTTTGAAAAGTGTCCGATTTGGTTTGAAAAGTGTCCGATTTGATTTGAAAAGTGTCCGATTTGGTTTGAAAAGTGTCCGATTTGGTTTGAAAAGTGTCCGATTTGGTTTGAAAAGTGTCCGATTTGGTTTGAAAAGTGTCCGATTTGGTTTGAAAAGTGTCCGATTTAAAGTGAAAATGGTATATATTCCCAAACCAACATGATGTATCGCTTTCCCGCGTGTGTGCGGCCCTTCATCTCTATCCGGAACCTACTACTCCATCCAGTCTTCATCATGTCCTGACGGTAAAAGGCTACTACAGCCGGTGACCGGGAGTTCACCTTCAACGACGGACAGCTCACGCTCTTTGACCATTCCCGCTCAATCGTTGACTCGCGAGTACATCTGCGAAGCCCTTTTTCTCTATTTATTCGTGCTGGCATATTTTGTTAAATCATTAATGTTACTTACTTACTTACTTAGATTACTTAGACGACCCGTTCTTCAGCACGGCGGTTGACCTTGCGCGGGTCCCAACTTCTTTTCCATTGATCTCTGTCTTGAGCCTTGCTTGAAATCGTTAATGTTAAGTCGTTCCATCAAGAGCCACATGAAAATTTACTCGTTGTCTTTCTCTGTTATTGAATCGGGAAAATCCTGTGTTACCTAGCTTGGCAGTCCGTGTTGCAGTCACTTTAGAATCCGGCAGGACACACCATAGGAAAATAAGAGGAAGTTAAAAAGAG